TCTTTATTTTTTTTTTTATTATATTAGATATTTGTCTCCTGTCACAGAAGATAAAGAATAGCATCCAAATCTTCACATTAATTATACTGGAAGGGACTTTTTGGCATTTTCTACATCCAAGTTCGCAGCTCTGTGAGGCTGTACTAAGGCACAGCGGCCCTTTGAGATAAATATCAATGTAAACATGATAATATGCTCACAATGCCAGTGTTAACATGCTCATGTTTAGCAGGTTTAACCTTTATCATGGTCACCATCTTATTTAAGCATGTTAGCATGCAAACTAGCTTTCTAATTAGCACAAAATAAGAAGTACAGCTGTGGCTAATGGGAATATCATCAGCTTTGCAGGTATGTGGTTGGAAATGTGACCAATGATGGTGCCAAATGAGAAGTTAAAGGATCACCAAGGTTATTAAAATTCATCCCAAAGGGATGCCAATCCATCCAACAGTGCCAACCCTAGAGCCACACCATTAATGTGGTTAAAAATGATTTACGCAAAGAATCGATAATTAGTGTTGCACCCTCACTGTCTGTCTAATGTACTTATTATGCTAAGAAGATAAATGACAGCACAACATCTGGGTCTTTCCTGTGGTTCTGCTCATGTTCAGAGCAATCCCAAGCAAACACATTGTTGTGTCACGGTAAAAAAACACAGGACCGATTACTCTGCATGTGCCGAATTTAGCTGGGGGTTAAATCACTGCCCTCCGGTGTTTGAAGCAAATGCCAGTCTTCTTATACATGTTTGCATACATGTACACAGATGTACAGCTTCACAAACAAACAAGCGCACTGAAACATTCCAGATGGCCAAGCAGATTGGTTTGTGCTAATTTCCCCAATGAAACGTTACAGAAATATCATCCACAACGGGATACCCCAGTCCATGCTGAGGCATTAAGACTTAACAACTGCAAATATCTAATAAGTAACCTACTTTTTACACAAAGACCCACAAACATGCAGCCATAACTTAGTTACTGTTGAAGAGGCTCTGACACAGAACTGAGTAACTACACCTTGTGACCACCATGGGTTTTACATTTATATTTTTTATTTAAATGTCTTTGCAACTCTTGGATGAATTGCCATGAATATTGGTACAAACTTTCATTGTGGCCATAGGTCACATCTGAATGACTTTGGTGATTCCCTGACTCTTCATCATATGCAATTACCATCTCAAAGTTAATGACTCAACAACTATTGGATTGTTTGCTTTGACGATCCCTAAACTTGTCACCTAGCACCGTCACCAGGTCGAAATTTTACTCTGTGAAATACTTGAAGGACCAGTGTGTAGGATTTAGTGGCGTCTAGCGGTGTAGCTGCAGTTTGCAACTACCTTGCTTTACCCTTCGCTTCCAAATGAGCTGGCTGCAAGAAGTGTGAACCGCTCTGGAGCCAGTATTTGGTTTGTCAGTTCTGGGCTACAGTAATAAAGAATGGCGGGTTAACATGGCTGACTGAATAGAAGGCAACACGCAGTCTGTATATTAAAAGAGCTCATTCTAAGGTAAAAAACCCACAATGATTCCTATCTTCAAGAGATTATACACTAATGAAAACATACCTATGAATATTATATTATTATTATTATATTTCTACCAATATATCCTCCTAAATGTTACACACTGGACCTTTATTCATTAATACTTTCAAAACTATTGATATTCTCATTAGCGTCTGCTGTACTTTGTGCGCAGAGCAAAATAAACACACGCTAAACTAAGATGTTGGATAGGGTAAACACTGTTAAACATCAGCATGTTGACACTGCTGACATTGGAATTCAGCTCAAAGCGCTGCTGTACAGCATCACATAGTTGCTAGCATGGTTGTGGAGTTTTAGTCGTGTTCTTACATGCCTGGAATAAAATGAATAGATGTATTGTCCTGTGAACAAAAGTCAGATTTTCAGTGACAGAATTTCCGTTAATGACATGGGTTCTGGTCATTGTTGACACTATGTTTTAAAAATAACTGCCTTTTGACATCAGGATTGGACTCAACTCTTGTGTCTTTATTAAACTAACAAAGCATTTAGGCTAAAAAAACTATTCTGCTAACTGTACAGTACAAGAAAGCAAACAGTGTTGTATTGTGAGCCTTTGCTCCGTGTCATGCTGTAACCACAGCTCCCATACAGAGTAACTGAGCTGAATACGCTCCGCTGCAGCTCAGCACTGAAAAATCAGCTGACTGGAGGAAAGCAGCGTCCTGGCACTCTGGCGTCTGGCACCGCACATCTGGCATTCAAAAGCCTCGGAGCAAACGTGCTGACATTACTGTTTCGTGTGGGCTCCCTCTCTTTTTTCAGCCACCTGCTTTTTGATATCTGTTGTTGTCATAGCAATGAATGACACTGGATGCTGCATATGAATTTATCCTGCAACCAAATGCCACTGCTCAAATTACAAATTAGTTATATTGATATTAATTTGAAGAATAATTTAAAATGTTCTCTCTGGATTCTTTTAATATGCTGTAGAAGTTCAAATGAAAAAAATCTGCAGCTAAAGAACAGCGTCTTGAAATGTGTCTGGAGGCACATTTTTGCCATGTAAAGTATGCTTTCTTCAGCAGATGTATTTAAAATAACTAACTCTTTCAGCACTAAAAACAATATAACAAAACACAAGAGCTTATAATCACCACTTTGGCCTTCAAGCCAACATCTATATAGGGTTGATATAGCGTGCAGTCATTCAAGTTGACTCATGTCCTTGAGGCATAATTGTTCTAAGCTCATTCTGCTAGAAAAGTTGAGAGTGGCAGCAGGAGCAATATGTTTTTCTGCAATATCCCTGCCCTTCAAACAGTCACTTACTCAATTTCACATTGTGGGTTATAATTTTGCAGGTTATTACATAGATAATCATCACCATTGTGCAGACTACCAACATTTCCTGAGGGATATTGAGTTAGCGCTATAGCCTGAAAAGAAACATACATTATTAAGGTGGTATGCTTTCCATATGCAAAGAATGTGAATAAATGTGAGAGACTTGAAGTCATGAATGAAACAGGGTTTCATTTGAAGAATTTTAAAATTTATCAGAAAAATTTAGGTTTTGGAAAATGATTGACTTTCTTGCTGAGAGTTAGCCGGTTAGCTTAGCACGAAGAGCACAAAGAGGGAGACGGGGAAACTGCTATCTTGGCGTTGTCCAAAAGTAACAAAATCTGCCGTTGTATTATCTTATTCTCGCTTACAGCGCAAAGAAGCCCGTTTCAAAATGTCGAACAAATTTGAGCTCGAGTAAAGAATGCATAATTGGCAAATCAACTACTTTCTTTTTATTAAGACACTGTCTCAAACCAGTTGTATGAGGTGTGTAATTACAGGTATTACAGGTATAAGTAAATATCTTCATATTGCAATATCAACAGAGCCAAGAGTCGTTGGTCATTGAGTGCTATTTTGGTATACACAGACAAGTAATAATATCTAAAACCCTGATAGTCTTGGTGTATAATGAACTCTGCTCATATAGTATGAGGCCACAATTCACTGACATTACTACACAATGTCAGAGAGCTTGACTCTTGCCCCTGGAAAATGAGAGGTGGGCAGGAGCAGTGAGGGGTGGATGAGGAGGCAGTGAAACTTACACACACTGGGTTTACAATGGGAAGAGGTGTTCTGTCTCAGAACTATAACTGTGCTGCATTCAGTATTTTGTCAGTGAAATAAATGTATGGCAAGAAACCATTATGTTCATTACTTTATGATGTCTTGCAAAACTTCATCGCCAGGCCAGCCATTGATTTCTTACTAATACTTTAAAAGCCGGAGCAATCATGTATCAATGAAAGCAGGCATTTAATGAACCTGAATTATTATTTTTACCCCTTCCAAAAACAAAACTTCACACTTTGTTGTGAAAGTACTTTTTCCACATTTGTTGTTTGTAACATTTTGAGAGAGACACACAGCATGTGGATTCAGTTTTTGGTGTGCTTTTGGTCCAACACTATTTTTGCATAAATCTTGTTAAGTTAGTGAATCACCATCACAGAAAAACAACAAAATTGTTTCATTAGATTTGCAGTAGCAACAACTGGTCAAGACACGCTGTGTGCCTTCCTGAAAACTAGATGGCAAATTAACAGGTAAGAATGTGGCCTTGTAAAATGGGGTCAGATGAAGAAGTTTCATTTACTGCAGCAATAAAATTTTGTTTGTTCATTTGAGTACTTTTAGAATACTGACAACATCAATCTGTTAAACCTAAGCTTGGTGTTGTTAGTAAGCCGAGTCGATAAAGGATAGTCAACTGTCGCTTGGGAAGTTTTCACTAAAGATATACAACTTTTATTATAATATGCAAAACTACATTGCACAGATTTCTAAAGTGTAATGTGAGGGTTTCTTTTCTAACTGTACATTTCGAGGAGATAGTGTGGGTGATGTAGGAGTTGTCACATTTCACAACCACTGCCCTCTGCAGTAAAAGGGACAGTGTGTCTTGTGTTAGTAATTCTTCTGCAGAGTGGTGGCACAATCTAATTTAATTTACATTATAAAGACATAATCCACATCCTGTGAGCACATGGAAACCACACTGTACTGCATAATTAGTGCTGATTGCTCCCTAAAATGTCAACTTTACTTTCTTTATTGTGTGTTATAACAAACTGAATATATTTGGGTATATTTTTGGGCTGTTGGTAGGAGAATTTCTTTTCTCACACTTCTTGACATTTTATTGACCAAACGATTAATTGATTAATCAAGAAAGAAAATAATTGGCAGATGAATTGATAATGAAAATAACTGTTAGTTGCACGCCTGATGTCTTGTTCATAATTTATCACACTACATATACACAGCCCAGTGTTATCTCTGCTCTTGCTGCTCACGCTGTAGTTCTGTCA